TCGAGTTTGGTTTTTGAAATTTTATGTCTTTTGGGGTAAATTTAACTTCATAGTTAATTTCGTAACCACTAAAAAGTGTGAAATTATGCTTAGTCCAATGGTATGGACTGCTGACTTGAAATCTGAAGGTTGTGGGTTCAATTCCAGGCTGGAATTTGAGATTTTAAAATTTATTACTTTTTGGGTAAATTAAATCATTATAGTTAATTTCGTAACCTTAAAAAATTGTGAAATTACACTTAGTCCAATGGTATGGACTACTGACTCTAAATTTGAAGGTTGTGGGTTCAAATCCAGGGTGGGAATTTTTAGATTTTAAAATTTTATGTCTCTTTGGGTAAATTAAATTTTATAGTTAATTTCGTAACCACAAAAAAGTGTGAAATTATGCTTAGTCCAATGGTATGGACTGCCGACTCTAAATCTGAAGGTTGCGGGTTCAAATCCAGGTTGGAAATTTTAGATTTTAGATTTTATTTATATTTGGGAAATTGAAACTTCATAGTTAATATCGTAATACTTAAAATTGTGAAATTACACTTAGTCCAATGGTATGGACTACTGACTGAAATCTGAAGGTTGTGGGTTCAATTCCAGGGTGGAAATTTTAGATTTTAAAATTGTATTACTTTTTGGGGTAAATTAAAAACATTATAGTTAATTTCGTAAACACTAAAAATTGTGAATTACACTTAGTCCAATGGTATGGACTACTGACTCTAAATCTGAAGGTGTGGGTTCAATTCCAGGGTGGGAATTTTAGATTTAAAAATTGTATACTTTTTGGGTAAATTAAACACATATAGTTAATTTCGTAACCTTTAAAAAGTGTGAAATTAGGCTTAGTCCAATGGTATGGACTACTGACTCGAAATCTGAAGGTTGTGGGTTCAAATCCAGGGTGGGAATTTTAGATTTAAAATGTATTACTTGGGGTAAATTAAACTTAAGTATTTAATTTTTTTTCGTAACCTTTAAAAGTGTGAAATTAGGCTTAGTCCAATGGTATGGACTACCAACTCGAAATCTGAAGGTTGCGGGTTCAATTCCAGAGGGGGAATTTTAGATTTTTAAATTTAGTTCTTTTTGGGTAAAATTTAAACTTGATAGTTAATTTTGTAACCGCTAGAAAGTGTGAAATTACACTTAGTCCAATGGTACGGACGGCTGACTTGAAATCTGAAGGTTGTGGGTCAAATCCAGGGGTGGAGTTTTGGTTTTTGAAATTTTATGTCTTTTGGGGTAAATTTAACTTCATAGTTAATTTTGTAACCACTAAAAAGTGTCAAATTATGTTTAGTCCAATGGTATGGACTGCTGACTTGAAATCTGAAGGTTGTGGGTTCAATTCCAGGGTGGGAATTTTAGATTTTAAATTTTATTACTTTTTTGGGTAAATTAAATCATTATAGTTAATTTCGTAACCTTTAAAATTGTGAAATTACACTTAGTCCAATGGTATGGACTACTGACTCTAAATCTGAAGGTTGTGGGTTCAAATCCAGGGTGGGAATTTTAGATTTTAAAATTGTATTACTTTTTTGGGTAAATTAAATCATTATAGTTAATTTCGTAACCTTTAAAAATTGTGAAATTACACTTAGTCCAATGGTATGGACTACTGACTCTAAATCTGAAGGTTGTGGGTTCAAATCCAGGGTGGAAAGTTTAGATTTTAAAATTTTATTTCTTTTTGGGTAAATTTAAACTTCATAGTTAATTTCGTAACTACAATAAAGTGTGAAATTATGCTTAGTCCAATGGTATGGACTGCCGACTCTAAATCTGAAGGTTGCGGGTTCAATTCCAGGGTGGAAATTTTAGATTTAAAAATTTTATTACCTTTTGGGGTAAATTAAAACATTATAGTTAATTTCGTAACCTTTAAAAAATGTGAAATTACACTTAGTCCAATGGGATGGACTTCTGACTCGAAACTGAAGGTTGTGGGTTCAATTCCAGGGTGGGAATTTTAGATTTTAAAATTTTGTTACTTTTTGGGTAAATTAAAACATTATAGTTAATTTCGTAACCTTTAACAAGTGTGAAATTAGGCTTAGTCCAATGGTATGGACTATTGACTTGAAATCTGAAGGTTGCGGGTTCAATTCCAGGGGGGGGATTTTAGATTTTAAAATTTATTTCTTTTTGGGTAAATTTAAACTTTATCGTTAATTTCGTAACCACTAAAAAGTGTGAAATTATGCTAAGTCCAATGGTATGGACTACTGACTCTAAATCTGAAGGTTGTGGGTTCAAATCCAGGGTGGGAATTTCAGATTTTAAAATAGTTTTACTTTTTGGTTAAATTAAAACATTATAGTTAATTTCGTAACCTTTAAAAAGTGTAAAATTAGGCTTAGTCCAATGGTATGGACTACTGACTCTAAATCTGAAGGTTGTGGGTTCAAATCCTGGGTGGAAATTTTAGATTTTAAAATTTTATGTCTTTTAGGGTAAATTTAAATTTTATAGTTAATTTCGTAACCACAAAAAAGTGTGAAATTATGCTTAGTCCAATGGTATGGACTGCCGACTCTAAATCTGAAGGTTGCGGGTTCCAATCCAGGTTGGAAATTTTAGATTTTAGATTTTATTTATTTTTGGGTAAATTGAAACTTCATAGTTAATATTTTAACCAATTAAAACAGTGACAATTATGCTAAGTACAATGGTACGGACTGCTGACTTTAAATGTTAAGGTTGTGGGTTCAAATCCAGCGTGAAAATTTTAGATTTTAAAATTTTATTTCTTTTGGGTAAATTGAAACTTGATAGTTAATTCCGTAACCACTAAAAAGCATGAAATTATGCTTAGTGCAGTGGTTCAGACTGCTGACTATAAATCTAAAGGTTGCAGGTTCATTCCCACGCTGGGAATTTTAGATTTCAAAATTTTACTACCTTTCAGGTCAATTGAAACTTTACAGTTAATTTTGTATCCACAAAATAGTGTGAAGTTGTGCTTAATCAAGTAATACGGACTGATGACCCTAAATCTGAACTTCTGAAGGTTGCTGGTTCAAGTCCCACAGATTTTAAAATTGTATTAATTTTGAGGTCAATTGAAATTTATATTTTTTTCAAGTTTGAAACCAGTCCACACTTCTAGTCTAGCAAAAGCCAAAAAGTAAAAAAGCAAATACTTTTAGCTTGAAGCAAATAGTGAAAGCATTTGCTCTCATTTTTATTCATGCAAATAAAAGTTATGCTTAAAAATGCGTAGTAAAAAAAAAAGCAAATGCTAGTTTTTATACATACGACCAAATGTTTCAATGTTAATCATAATTGCATCGTTTATGTTTCAGTAATAGATTTGAGGACCTACATGGATCTGTTTGGGCCTACAACGACGCCCATTCACTGAGCGGATTCGGGATTTGCCCATCGAGAACTCGAAAAGATAGGAGAGACCAAGGCCAGTTGCTTTGGTAAAATTTTTCATTCAGGTAAGACAAACTTCCATGAAGACTCAACTCATTAGTTCAATTCCCCCCCCCCCCCCCAACTAAGCCCTAAGACAACACTGAGTGTACACTATTTACAAAATATGTCCGGTTTTATTTAGTTAAGTGGCTTTCAGGCTGTTAGTTCTCCCACATTTTAATGGTGGTCCCTCATTTGACATGTTGTCATCAAACGTTCTTTTGTCAAAGCCATCGGGGCAGAATATTTTTGGCATGCTGTTGGAAAGAACCAATTTTCAACTTTTGTTCTTGTGAAAATCCTGTTGCGTGACATCACAGCCTGTGTTGTGATGTGAATGAGTTCTACCTGATTGATAAACGTGACCCGACTCAGAGGTGGCATGTCTTGGTGACAGTCCCTCGCTTGTCAGCTGGTATGGAATGTCATTTGGTGACAAGTGAACGTCCTTATCCAAAGTCAAGGAGTAATGTCCCACAGTATCTCCGGGGTTATCCACGATGTTGCCGAGCGGCTCCGAATCCTCCTCAGACGTTACCGTCATGACGACTGTCTGCTCCATGTTCCCAAGGGTGCCCTCCGAGGACGACATCATGGCCATGTGTGAGATGTCCTGTGATTGGTCAGCCAGGTCTGGTACCAAGACTGTAGATTCAGCTGCAGATTCCTCGGGGGCTGATTTGGATAATGCGCAGGCCTGAGCGTACAGCCGTAGCTGTGCTAGATGGTGGTGCAGCAGCTGGGTGTGCTCCTCAGACATGTGTTGCAGTAACTCTTGCAAAATGGACTGGTTCTCGCTGTCGTTGGTTGGATGTTTCAAACTGGACGTGTGAATCATGGACAGCTGCTGCTTGAGTGACATGTTTGTGTTGGACAAATACTCAACCTGGAGGGCAAGACGGATGGGCAGAGAAATTATTTGTTTACAGATGGAATTTTAATAGACCAATCCATTAGGCTCTGCCCCATGATGTGTAACCAATCACAACCATGACAGCGCACACCAAAGTCTGACATTTATGCACTTCATGATGTGTGCAGTTGGAGCATGAATGCTTAAGAAGGCACATGTGTTGTTACCCAGTTATTTAGTGCAACTAGAGTTTGAGTGAAACCACGAATCCTCTACACAAGGATAAACGACACATCTGAGCTTGTGTACAAAATGTGTGCAACGGTTTGTCTGCATTTATCATAAGCAGCGTCAGCGCATAAAACAACGTAGAACGTGTAGCGTAGAACGTGTAGAAAATGTAGAGCAATGACAACAACAGTGCACACCATGATCGCCCACAGCCATGACAGCTGGCATCCTGACAGAAATCTGACCACTGAAAGAACGCAGTCACATTAGTGTGCCTGCATTAGTTCTGATCAAGGTATGTCCCCCCTCCCACTTTTCAGAAGCGATTGACGCCCTTGGTACCTGTTGCATGCAGGGAACAAGATCCAAACTCATTCTTAGACCAAGACCAGATGGAATGCCCACTCACCTTTGTGCGAAGCCTTTCTATAGTGCCTTTCATCCTGTGCTCTGTCTGGGCCCACGTGGTCCGCTCCTGCTCTAGAGTCTTCTCCAGACGTTCCTTCTCCTGCAGCAGCAGCGACAAGTTGTGCTCTGTGTAGCAAGTCTCGTCCTCCAAATCCTCTTTGCTTCCTTCGTCTGGTATCTCAATAAGGACAACTGTTTACGAGAGGGAAAGGTTGAGTAATTATCCTGGATAATAATTCCTGTAATAATGAAAGTCGGTCATCAAAAGGTCACTCCAGGTGTGGGCTACACAAAGAGGGCAAATGATGGGAGGAGTTTATGGAGTAGAAAGGTCGACATATGTGTTGCGCTTGAATGGGACAAATGATATGTAGCGGTAAAAACAGGATACAGGCAAGAAAGTCCAAAGTGATGCAGTGTGTCAAGAACATGTAATTCCTTGTAACTGGGTGCGAGCAATCCCTCACTTTTTCAAACCTTATTCCTAAAATTAGGTGGGCAAGGTGAAGGACAAATGCCAATATTTAATTAATTGTTGAAGTCAGCTCTCAAAATGTACTGCGACCCTGACTTATTAGATTTTTTTTGTTGCTTAGAACCTTCCTGAATCCTCCAAAATTCAATATACTTAAATAACACCAATGGCACACCCTTTGCACCTTGTAATTTCAATTTGTAAAATCCTCTGTCAATATTGGCCCTCATCCACCCCAACCCCCTAAAAAAATGCTGAACTTTTGGTTGTTGTTTTATTTATTTTATTGACCAAACAAGTGCAGGAGTGAAGACAACTGTATTAAACATGCTGTTGTCTACCCATTCCCTTCTTCCATATGGATTCACGATATATCAATTGAAAACAAAGTGGGTGGGGGGGTGGGGGGGGGGAAGAGTTCTTCCTTGCATCAAATGCCTCCCCCTTGGCTTTTTGGTCAGCTTCTTCTAATTATCCTTCACTGCTGGTGGCATTATCCACCTTAACCTCTGGGTAGATGCTGCAGGATTTTTGGAGGGTCAGGGTTAATATTCTTACCATCTTACCTTCCCCATTGGCAGTGCTCTGGCTCGGATCATTGATGCAGGCGTACTGGTACTCGATCTGCGGCTGCTGCCCGTCAGTCTGCTCATAGCCCCGGGGATGATGTGTCCGTCTCTGATGGCTGCTGTGACTGGGGGACTATGAGGTGTGTTACCAGGCAGGTACTGTTGGGTGCTGGGTCAGTGTATGTGGTGAAGATCTGGTTGACATCCTGGGTAAAAATGGTGGAGTGCAGTCGTTAAGGTTGATAAAATGAGACTTAAACCTGCAAGGTAGCAAAAGATTCAATTTACGACACAAACGTACAGTGATTAACTTAGGTTCACAATTAATTATTTTAAAAGACACGAAGTGTTGGCATTTGATATAATCCACCCAAATCCTTGTAGAACTACCATACCTGCTCACAAGGTACATAAATTTCAACTGATTAAATTTATTTCATGGGGTTTTTTTTTCATGCAGATTGTACAAGGGGACCATTACATCACAGCAACGGCATACTCAGTTGTCTTGAAGCAGCACTGAAACTGTGAAGGTTAAAAATAAGTGCGCTTTCAAACACTTTAAACCAAAAAGGTGTGTCTAATCATTCTCAAAAGAATGGATACTTGAGGCAAAACTTTTCGATTAAAAAAACCCAGATTTTGTTCAACAAGTTCACTTCATGGTTTTTTGAAACACCCCTCTACAGGGAGTTTATCGAACACTGATATCTGCTAAGAATAACCAGCCCAGGTATCTGTCAATTTCATAAAACTCCCACAAATGCCACTACCTTGTCCTGCTGTCCACTACCTTCAACTTACCTTTATAATTAACCCTAACCCTGCCACATGCAGCACAGTGCGCATCAGCATCAGTCTTGTTCCCAAACTCACCCCCAAAGTTGATGCCTTTATCCACGTACTTGACCCTGTACGTAGTGCGCCTTGAGGAGAATCTCCTCAGTGAAGAGACTGTCCTGGGAGCAGAATGGACAGTGCAGATGCGGAGCCTTCATCAAGGAGTGGCTACACTCCCTGTCTGTGCATTGTATGGGCGTCCAGTCTGCCTCAGCGCCTTTCGTCTGCACTGATGGATGCGCCTACAGTTGCGAAAAAAACAATTGAGAAAAACTGTCAAGTTAACATGTATGATGTCAAAAAAATGTTATAAAATGGCTACGCCAATGAAATCAGTAGAAAATCTCATTTTGTACTCAAATCCAAATCTTCACAGCAGTTTTCAAAGTGGCAGTTCATAAAAACCAGGCATAAAACATTTAACAAAAAAAACACTCGCAGATGGGATCTCTTTTGAGGCGGTGGAAGAGGTTTTAGAAGGCTTTCTTGGAGAGCCAACAGTCACCTCGGAAAGAATGTTGCAACCTGACGCTACTTCTGCAGTTGTGTACAAAGTCTATGGAGAGTCAAGATTTTTTTGAAGTATTTCCTAACAAAATTGGAAATGTTTCTCAGTCCAAGATTCATGTCTTATCAATATATCATCATTTTTGCAATTACTGACCTTCATTGAGATGATATACGAAGGAAAAAGCAGCGTTAGGTGGCAACATTCCGTCACCTCTGATGCTGAACCAACACGAGGTAGTGATGTAGAAAAACATTGGCCATTTTTTGCGCACTTAGTACTTGGACCAATTTTTTTCTTGCATAAACTAAATCCTACACAGTTGTGGACTTTAACATTGAAAGAATGACTAATATTAACTACATAGAAAAATAATTTGAACAATATCGAACGTCAAGGAAGCACCAAGAACGTCATCGTCTGCAGATGAGTCAAATTGGCTGCCACGAAAGTCTCCATTGTGTCCTACTTCCTAAACCAAGGTGGATTTGTCATCCGACATTGTTATTAAATGCGCGTTTGTTTATATATGAAATAAATGAATTTCTTTCCATTTTGGTAAAAACAACTGCATGCATAATATTTAAAATCATATCATAATTGAAAATAGGAGGTAAATAAAATAAATCCACAAATATTATAATATACTTTTGTCGAAAGTCTAAGAAGCTTAGTTAAATCCTATGCATGGAAAGAGTTCCGAGAATGTTTTGCTGAAAATCATCCGTGTGCCAATTACATAACATTTTACAAATGTATACAGATTCTCCCAAAATAGAAACATTTGCAATATAACTTTAGTATGCCGTTGCTATATTTTTAAAGTTTAGTCGGACTCCCTATTATCGCAGCATCCCTATTATCGTGGAATGGGAAATTTCTCTTTTTGTGTTGCCTAAACTCCTTCAAGTGGCGATTTTTATCCAGTTCACCAGGCATTAAGGACTTTCTGCCGAGTTGTATAAAAAGGATGATTAAAAAATGTTGTGTCTTTCTAGTTTTGTTTTGACTACTTTAGGTATCTTAATTATTTGTGAGTTGTTGCTTCACCACTGTAGCGAACCAGGTTGGCAGTGAAATGCAGTAATAATAGGTGAGCTACAGTGACGCTGTGTTTAATCAATTTAAATTTTTCGGCAGTCTTTTTTTATTATTCTTTACTTCGTGTGAAACAAATATCAACCTCATTTATATTTCATAGGTAAAAATACTGTCCAAAGTATCTCAACAGTTTTTAGACAAAAGTCTGTTAATAATTATTTCTATTGGCAAAGTTATAGCCACAAAAAAACATTTCATTTAGTGTTTACTTATACATATGCACCCGTCACTGGAAACATTTAAGCATATAGTTCCCTCCAGCATTCGAAGTAGAATTCAATATTTTGTGTCGCTCCTGTACGGTGGGGTTCAACACTGCTATATTATTACTTTTTTATTAGTATAGATATAGGCCTAGTTTGATGCTCCCGGCCCGGGATTTGTAAAATGTCCAACATAATATTTGCACATAGCCCCTCTCTAGCTCTATTGACGCTCTTTCGACTTTCATTACCTTGGTGAAGAGCCACTCAAACTGGTCAAGGGGAAAAACTGAAAAACTAGTGTTCAGCGTAAACAGCTTATTTATTTCCCTTAAAGCCATTTCTCCCTGTGGAAACTTACTTGAGTTGCGTAAACAGCGCCGGCCTAGCCCTCCAGAAAAAAAAGAGAACATGGGTTTAAAGAGTTTTTAAAAATTCGATTCATTCCCAGCTGCGGCTTCGTCTACTATAAAAATTTAAGAAGATTATGAAATTTCCACACAGCTACCCAGAAAGCGTGAGTTGTCAAATAATTATAGACAAATAAATATTGTTGAGCTTCCGTTATGGAAGACGTATGCGTCTCGTTAAAAAAAAAGGATACCAGTTCAATATATGAAGCTGAAGCAGTAGGGACCTGCGATGGAGGCCGATGTTTCGAAAGAGCTTGCATGCCAATCGAACGACACATGAGGGCAGCATTCAACAACATAAACACGCGACTGTAAATCTGGCGCTGTCTTCCGAGTGGCCGAAACCTGTTGCCTGTGTCACTTTCTTGGTCAGTATCAGTAGATAATTTTATCTAACCATTTAATAAATGATAACATTAATTTAGTTGTTTATATTAGCTATTTGTGAAATCTGCATTATTTTATTTAGTGAAACTGAAACGTACTGCAAAAAGTGGCCATATCTGACATGATACTTTGAGTTTGATAGACGTAGGCCTACTGCGTTTATTATTTGTATTCAATAGCGTGGTATCTCATTTGTGAAAAGTTTGAGATGCTTAATTAACAATAACAATTAACATTAAAGGAAAGATTCCCATATCTGGCCATCACTTGCCACCCTGTGCACAAACCCTTTGAGACTGGTCTGAAAATTTTTAAGTGTTTTCTCAGTTGAGTTGGCTGGAGTTACCCAGCACCCAATTGGGTATCATTGGGTTGTCATCTAGATGACAACCCAATGATAAAATTTAGGGCTGGGTAACTCCAGCTACAGTTGAGTTAATACTTCGGCCATCGTGAAGTGCAGGGCCCGGTTCCTATAACTTGGGGAACAAAATCCACTTAAAAATTATTTGACCTACCATAATAGTTTGCAACATTCTCAATAAACAGGTTTGTCATAGATAGAGGACAGGGTTTTGATGTTTTGAGGGAAATTTGGGGGTAAAATGACAATGACGGCGCGGCGACAACATGCGACCCGAAATTTGAGATGGCAATCACCGCGCAATGTTCCGTGAGCATGCAAGGCGCGCTGAATCCCAAGGTACAAACCGCGCAGGAAAACCGTGATTTCTACCCCAAGAATCTGTTCAAAATTGTAAAATGGGTGTTATTAGAATTGAGAAAAGGCTGCTTTTGATTGTAAAAGTGAGTTTTGAGCAATAAAAAACATTTTCGATTTTAATTTGATCAAAACAAAACGGGGGCCCTACACTTCACGATCGCCGTAATTTTTCCCTTAAATGACCTATCAGCCATCAGAAAATGATATGTCCTAAAAAGTCAAAATTAGCAGGGACAAATTTTGACCCCTCCCCCTAGATATCCCACTGGTCATGGCTTTCAATAGTATACAACTGCTTTATGTGCAGTTTCTTTATATTTCCAGTGTGTTTTTGGTCCAACGTAATAACACCAAAATGGATGAGAAGCAGGGACCAACTTCTGATGATGTCCCAACTGGGGAGGTAACGTCAACCACAGTTACAGAGGGTGATGTTGTCAAGATGCCAACAGATGTGGCCATCACTATGGATGCTATTCCCAATAAAGATGAGGAGGACAAATCCAAAGGTAACTTGTTATTCTTTTACTTGGTGAGGACGTTTGCTCCTTTGCCAGGTCAGCTAAGTGTAATCTCATTCATGTTATTTTGTCCATTCTTGCTTATTGGAAACTTAATACTTTAACCCAGTGAAATTAATTTTGCTGCAAGATAGTTTTGTTGCTTTCCAGGTAATTTTTATAAATTGGGGGAATGAGGGTTCAATTTCATAAAAATATTGCACCTGTACTTGGTACTTGGTGGTTATCCTGAATACTCCACGTGGAAGTCTAGCAAGGAGGCCTTGGGGAAGTGGAACTAAATTAAATCCTTAAAGGTGTTGTGGTTTGGGGCGTCTGTGGTGTCTTGAGGGAGCTTGTTCCATTTCCGGATAGTTCTGGGTAGGAATGACTGCATATAGATGTCTGTCCTTGCTGCAATTTCTGTGAACTGGTGGTTGTGAATTCTATGAGCCGGTGCTGGTTTGGGGACTATGGATGATGAGTTAATGTGAACTATGTTGTGTATTATGTTAGTAGGTAAGTTGGTTAACTTTCCTTCTCTCTTCCAGTGAAGACCAGCCTAGGGTTGTCAACATGTCGGTCACACTGCTCAGTCTGGAATAATCTCGCATTACGAAACGAGCAGCCCTCATCAGTTGCACTTTTTCCACGGATGTTATGTTCTTAGCTATGTGAGGGTTCCAAGCAATGCTGCCATATTCTAGGTGTGGTCTGACTACTGCTAAGTACAGCTTTTCTTTGACTGATCTGGATGCAGAATGAAAATTTATTTTGATGAAGTTCAATATACGACTTGCTTTGGAAGTGGCATGTGCTGTTTGGTGATTCCAACTTGGGTTATTCTGAATGATTATTCCCAAATATGTGATGTTGGTTTTCTCTACGAGGTTGGATCCTAACATGGTGTAGTTAGTTTTGCCGGGGTCCCGCTTCCCGGAGATTCGCATGATGTTACATTTGCTGGAGTTAAATTTCATTCCCCAGGTTTGCGCCCAGTGAGCCAAGTTGTCCAGGTCTTTTTGGAACATCAGTTCATCAGTTGATGAGCAGATCTTCCGATATAACAGGCAGTCGTCAGCGAAAAGGAGAGTTGTGCCAGTCACTGATTTGCTAATGTCATCGATGAAAAGTAAAAACAGGTGGGGGCCAAGCACGGTGCCTTGTGGTACGCCACTGTCGACACTTTGCCATTTCAAAGATTTTCAATTTACCACAACTCTTTGTGACCTGTTGGTTAAGAATTCCCTGATCCATCTCTGTGTTTTTCCCCTTATCCCATTCATTCATTCGTTAAACATAGGCATTTGCCCGTGGTCTCCTCCTCAAATTATACACAGTTGGGATCACTGGCGCCGCTCCCACCACAGCCCGTCTTTCCAGTGCTGCTGCTTTCAGTTCGTTGGTGTCACACCCAGACCATTCACGGATGTTGTCCACCCAGCGCATCTTTGGCCGGCCCACGGAGCGACGACATCCCACTGGCATCCCATCCACAACAGATGCCGCCATGCCGGACCACATGGCCCAACCATGCTGCCTTTCGTTCCATCACTGCTGAAGCACCACCGGTCGCCGATCACCTCCATCAGTCTTTCATTTGTCACATGATCTTGCCACTTGATATTGAGCAGGTGACGCCAAATGGTTCGGCCAAAACTGTCTAGGCGTTTGATGTCAGCTGCCTTCAACGACAGGGTGGTGGCACCATACAGTACCCTTGATATGACTAGGGCCCGAGCAAGCTGTACCTTTACCTCAAGGCTGATGCGGGGGGAGCGCAGATACTTGCACTGCCGAAGAGTGGATCTGCCCATACCTAACCGCATCCGAACCTCCTTGCTGTCGTCTAGTGTGTGGTCGATCAACACTCCTAGATACTTGAAAGATGTGACACGAGGTATTTGTGCCGAGCGGTATGTGATGGTGCTGTCATCGGTTGTTGGCTGGATGATCATATATGCAGTCTTACTAGGGTGGATGGCTAACCCATACCCATCAGATATATCACCCAGGGTAGTAAGCATCTCTTCAGCATCAGCTCTGCACAGTGCCATCAGTACCAGGTCTTCAGCATATCTGATCTCCTTTAGGGGGATACCACTGACATCTGGAGCCGTTAGGTGTGCTGTGCGATTGTACCACTCTCGCATGAGACACTCAGTGTAGAGGCTGAAGAGTGTTGGTGACAATGGACAGCCTTGGCGTACTCCGACTGGTGTCTCAAACTCGCCTGTCATCCGACCTTTCCACCGGAGCTTGCCATTTGAGTTGATGTAAAGATCCTCAAGTAGCCGCATCACATTCTCCTCCACGCCAAGATATCGTAGCTTTGCAAACAGAAGTGCATGATTAACTGAATCAAATGCCTTCTTATAGTCAACAAAGACCAGATGGAGAGGGCGTTTTCCTGCGTAGTGCGATTCCGCCACACCTTTCAGGAGGTAGATTCCATCAGTTGTGCCTTTACCGCTTACAAAGCCACATTGGGTGTCACTCACTTCGATGTTAGCGGTTCTTTCCAGTCTGCATTGTATCACATTCAGAACAATTTTGCTGGCATGACTGATTAGTGCAAGTGTTCTGTAGTTGTTGCACAAGCCTCGGTCACTCTTTTTGTGCAACGGGATGTACACTGACTTGGTCATCGACTGTGGCCACTTTCCAGAGTTCCAGATGTTACACACGGCCCCATGAAGGGTTTTGAATATCTCTGGGTCCTGTGTCGCAGCTTTAAGAGCTTCAGATGTGACGCAATCAACTCCGGGAGCCTTGTGGTTTTTCAGTGCCTGTATGGCTTTCTTGGTCTCTTCCGGTGTCGGCAGGTTTCGTTCAACCTCAGTTGTGTGATGGGGTGGACGTGGCCGATTGGACTCAAATAGATCTACAGCATACTGATGCCAACGCTGTATTTCTTCTTCAGCTGTCTCCAATACCAGACCGTTTTCTGAAGGAGAACATCAGCAGTTTTGAACAGAGTTCTGCAATTGTGATTCTGGTATGCTTGGTTCAATGTGTTGATATTAGTTACCAACCATTCATTGAGATCTTTCTGGCATGCATGTTTGACCTCATTCCTCAGAGCTGTGAATTCTTGAGTGCCTACAGCCTTCCTCTTGCGCTGAATCAGATGAAGAGTTAATTCAGACAGGTACGACTGTTTCTTCTGGGATGTTTGTGTACCACAGGTCCCAAGAGATGCTTCGTGTATGACACATGCGACAGCTTCAAGAGAGTCACCTTGAGTAACACGGGATCGAACCAGCTGCTGAAAGACTTCAGACGATTGTTCCGACTTCAGGGCTTCAACGTTTGGATGTTGAGGTCGTAGTCCACGTGCAGTAGCATGACGACGGAATTTCCACTTCAGGTTGCAGATTACTAACCGATGGTCAGTACTTATCCCGTAGTAGTCTAATGTTTGGACCAGTTTTTGATGAGAAATTATGTTGAATGCTTTGGAGAAGTCAAGTACTGCCATTTCTGTGGTGATTTGATTATTGTAAT